CTTACTCTCTCACTCATTCACTGACTCACTCTCTCTCACACACACACACTCACTCACTCACTACCTCGCGCATTTATCCACAATATGTAAATTCACTAACTCGAGCATTCACTGTTTTGGTCACAACGAAAGCGAATTCATTTCTGGACGTGGATTTCAATCTACAAGTACCATAAACCAAACAATCAACACTATAAAAAAATGTATATTCATAATTCGTCTCTTCTATAGATGTAGGGAATTGTATGTCTCATGGATAGTGTGCTGGGTGATCTAAAAAAAATTATTTTACTGAATAACTCGAGCAAAAATGTTCTAGAATGTAGTAATTTATAACAGACGTAATTTATTCAAACGGAATTTGTTTGACATAAAATTCATGAAGATGAAACTTATTTTTGAAAACGAAAATAGCTTAGGGGGTTTATGGATTTTGAGTTGTACGCATTTTAAGCTTTTTCAGCCTCTCTTACAACTATTTCGTCGCATAAGAACCCCCTAAAGCTTTATTTCTTCCCATACCGGGCATGTTAGTCACCACCATTTCCTTATAAAGTCAGTCTACTATTTTTCTTTATCGCCCGTTTTCTCAAAACGTGGTTTTTCTATATCCTTTTTTTAATAACTCCACAATTTTTCATCCAACCTTCGTTAAACTTTCACAGAATGAAGAGATGATGTAATACTAAAAACCCATCTGGTGAATATTTATATATATATATGAAGTAGAATTTTGTTGGTGGTGTCTAGAATCTGGATTTTTATTACTTATGACAGGTAAACAAAATCCAATATGACCATCGAATCCATGGAAACGAAACTTTTTCAAATTTGATTGCAGATTTTAGAATTCTTTACTATGCGTGTTATGTGTGAAATTTGGTCTAATTTGATAGACTAATAAGCGAGATAGCCTTCAAGTGTAGCCTGAATTTGGGGAAGAGATAAAGGATCCATGGTGTAAGTCTCCGGAATGGCGGGGATGTTCAATGATTTCCAACTGCTAGGAGTCCAGGAGAGCAGTGTGCACAGGCGTGTTATCATGATGGAAGACAACACCTTGCTCAAGCAGACCTGGTCGCTTTCTTCTGACTGCTGGTCTCAGCTTTGTTTGAAGTATTATCTTGTTGTAATAATAGTTAACATTTCATGTTGTGCCAACGGGAACCAGCCAGTTCAAAATCAGACCTTTGGGGTCGAAAAACACAATGTGCATCATTTTCAAAGCACCTTGCTTGCGCCGAGCTTCTGGGGTAGCAGCGGTGATCCTGGGCTTCCCAATTCTGCTGATTGTCTTTTTCAGTTCTGGATCCCGCGAATACACCCATAGTGTTGATTTTACAGAACAGGAAAACTTACTCTTATATCTCGGGGACAGACACCGTACATGTAGCATTAGGCGGTTAGAGGTTATTGGCTGATGAGCGTGTGGTGTTGTGCATGATAAAAGTAGCGGTTGATGTTCGTGTTGATGGTGGTGTGGTGCTTTCGGTGGGCGGTAATGGTGGTGGCTTTGATATTGTAGCCCCCATTGATGAAGGTAGTTGTGGCGGCTATGATGGTGATAATGTTTTCGCCATTGACATCGACTAAGGCTTTATCAAGCCTGTAAGGTCATTCAGCACCAAGAAGTTCATGTAGATTCGGACAACAGTAAGACGTAGAAGAAAGAGTTGAAGTAGCAGACCACACCAGAGCTCTCGACAACCATCCGCAAGATCCTCGTGAGGGAGATAAATAATATAATATGACAAAGGATCTTAGAAAGAAAGGAGCATGAAATAATTACAGTGCAGAGCAAAGTAAGCAGCCTAACCAGCCCCCGTAAACAGGAAACTCTGGACTTGGAGTGCATGTGCTACTTTCAAAAGCAGCGAATATTTACTACATACAAGATGTCCGTTTGTACGCGATTTTGTACGGCAGATCTGTTTCATGTAGCATTTGCAACAGATGTATGGTACTCCAGTTGAAGTTGAAGAGACGTTCACTTTCAGGTACATGTACGAGATGGGGCTAGGGTATAACAGAACAAACAAAACACAGGAGACAAAGCAGATAGATGATACCATGACATGTATCACTTTCACTAAGAAGTACAGTATGCATCTCAGTTCCTTACTTTCTGAAGGCTCCTTATATATTATAAATATTTGGTACCGAACAGAAAATAAAATGTGTGGGCCCTACAGCACAAAGTCAGTTTTCTATTGCTCATTCTTATTCCTTTTTGCTTGTTTCTTGTTGATTAGGTGTGGTCTACTCCTTCTGTTTTCTGGTGTCTATTAGTGTCAATAATCAAAATAAAATTAATAATAATAGATAGTCAAGCCCACCCCCCAGTCAGTGCACAGGACAATGAAGAAAAATTCCAGGAAAACGCAGCAGAGTGGACGAGTCCTGTGTGTTTTCTGTTACTGTCGGCACGTTGTATACGTCATTTCAGGGACAGCCAAGAATAGTAGAGACGGCTAAATCTACGTGAAATTGAGTGAAAGAAGGAGAAAAAAAACGACGATAGAAAAGTCAGAAAGAAGAAGAAAACCTCATCAAAGAACCCAAGCTCTAGTCAAAAAAAGCGCACAAATAACCAACTGAGTCGAGGCAAATTAGGTATCTATGATAATTAAACAAAAGTAGTTATGACATTTTAGCAGCGAGGAACATAATGTTACAGTTTCTATTGTAATAACTATTAAACCAGTCATTTCGAACGAAGACCCCCTGGTGTATAATGGTGTTTCGATAACTTTTTGTGGGGTTATCGTCGATGTTGTTGTTGCTGCTGCGGCTGCCTACTCTGCTCTGCTCTGATCTGATCTGTTCTGATCTGCTCTGCTCTGCTCTGCTCTGCTCTGCTCTGATCTGCTCTGCCCTGTTCTGATCTGCTCTGATCTGCTCTGCTCTGCTGCTGCGGCGATGATGATGATGATGATGATGATGATGATGATGATGATGATGATGATGATGCACTGTTTTTACTAGATCAGACCCTGAGTTGACCGACATCCATACTTAAACCTGTCTAAGACGACCATCCTTTATCGAGGAGAAAGACGATCATCCTAGACAGGTAGTCCTCTTGGACAGTGTTATTATAACATATATAAACCTCTAGTGGGGAAGAGGGAAGTGGTCATTTGTACAGGTGATTGTCTTGGACAGGTTGTCGTTAGAACGAGTTCTTCATCTGTACTTGTATACGAAAATATCAAGACTGAAACGTAGTAAGTACGGACAAAAAAGCTACCTTCAATGTTTGTTGTTTGTTTGGGGTTTGTTTTGTTTTGTTAGTTTATTTGTTTGTTGTTGTTGTTGTTTTGTTTATTTGCTTGTTTTGTTTCTGGCTTTTTTGTTTTTACACAAGAGAAACGGAAAAACCATGGCGAAAAGGCGAACGAACGAAAACCCACCAGAGTAGGCGTTCTGCTGTAGGGTGGTTACAAGACCACTCCGAAGGGTTACCAGGCGCCAGCTGATAACAGTCTCTACAATTTAATGTTAGTTACATTGACCTTATTGGGTTGTCAGACATACATGTGACACACGGTAGGTGGAGGTTAAAATCCTACAACTAGCTTTTAAAGCACTGTTTTTCACGTGTTTGAAAGGTCAAACGCCCCTGTCGACCTATATAAATTTAGCAGGTGTTTATTTTCTTTGTCAACAAAGTTGAAAAGGTCAGCCCATCTGAGGCTGAAATTCTCCTACAGTCTGTAATGTTTGGAGATGTTGACGTAGGTTTGTTTCTCATAATGCCGACCAAAAAAGGCCTGCTCTTAAACTAAAATAACAAGACTACGTAACCAATACAGCAAACTGTAGCTATTCAGCCCATTACGTGGGGGTCACCAATGTAGCAGGACTGAGACATAATTTTATATTACTTTATCTCGTAGGCTAATCTTCTGGAACTCCAAGGGTGACGTAAAACACAAAACTTATAACAACAATACAGGACAAACAATTTCGGTTCAGGGTAGACGCCTCAACCAACTTCATTTCCCTTTAGATGGTTCCACATTAATTTACAAGACACCCTGTAGTTAGTATACGTAAACGCATTGGAGATTTTTACACTGTTTGTAAGGACACTGAATTTGTATCTTTTTTTTTTTTGAATTTCTTTTGAATTTGGAGTATCTCGCCGTAAAGCTCTGTGCATGCAATGTCTACCTTAAAACTACAAAGTTCTATCGGTTCAGTGGCTAGTTTTGATAAATGTGACGTCAAAGGTTTTGAGTTTCACATCATGCCAAGCTTTTCCGAGTGCAATTCTTTGAATATCTTGATAATTACTCTGAATAATCTTACGATTTTGATAGAGCAGGCAGAATTTTTTTCTGACCTCATGGTCTTATTAACTCAAAACGGCCAAAAATGTCAGATAGAACTTTGTAATTCTGAGGTAGCGCGTTGTGTGGGTTCATGCAGCACACCGTAAAATGCCATTCTACACACACAACAAACAACCATAATTCAATTATGAACGTTTTAATCAGTGTCTTTGAATAAAATATTAATTTGGATATTTCAACGATTTTGACCGCAGCCTGTATGCAGATTGGTTTTTAGAGAATTCAAGACAGTAGAATCAGACCTTTGCCGTGGATCTTCTGCCCAGGATATGCAGGAGTCAAAGGAAATGAAACAGACCAGATAACCTCGCAGGCTCCGCAAACATAGAGGGAGTGATTATCCTTGATCCTCCAACTGTTATAGCCCTTGTCCGAGATCACCTAGCCAGCAGCCGTGAAGAGGAAACCTTCACGAAAGGAGATTGTGATTGAGAAAGGAGTACTGCTTGATGAAGGCAGGAGGAGCAGCCTGCGTGACCCCATCAGACGCTACACTACAACAACCAGCTGATGATGAAGACAATCAGCCTGCCGACCCTGAAATGGACCCTTATGAAGAGGGGCGAGGAAGCATGAAGCACCCTGTCTTCCTAATACGGGGTGCCCACTACGGCTGGATCGGGCCGATCGCCTGAAACTGAAAACAGTCACGTTTGTTTTTTAGGCGATCGAGTCGGGCGATCGGCCCGATCGGCAGATCCCATCCCTAGTGGGCATCCCGTATTAGACCCCAGTTTTACTGCATTCAAGTACCTTAACATGTCATTCCTGCGGAAAGGACGTGCACATAACATGTTAGATCTAAGTTCCTGTTCAACACTCCCATTGAACATGACAATCGTGCTTTTCCGGAAATCTGCGATAAAAGTTACGGTAAATCTATCATTGACATTGATGATTTAGTTTTCATTTCCGACAACTTCACAGCTTTTTGTTTTGCTGGTGTCGTTGAAAACTTTGTTTGCAGACATGATAGCATCTCAAATATCTGAAGGTAGGTGTGAAGCTTTAGCAGATTGAGGAAAATATTTAGAAATTCTTTTTATCCTCGTGAAACGAGTAGAAATCCAGAAAATCTAGAATCTAGATTCTAGATCTAGATCTAGATCTATCTGCTGAATGTGACCGCCAAACGTTTTTTTAAAAGAATAGGCTAATGTTAATGAGAAAAAAATCAATTGTTACAATTGCATGGTCACTTGGAACACTGATTGTAAGGTTTTTAAGAGGCGAGAACTCCGATAGGACAGGGTTTAACAGAGAAATGCATGTAAAGTGCCTTTCCAAAACGAAATGAGCCTGGATCCCCATAACCCGCCATCACATGATTAGAAGGTAACCTAATCATAATCACTAGACTCTCTACCGAAGCCACAATGTGAGAAAGACTTTTGGATGATCCACCAAATAGAAAAATTAAAACAATACACAAGATTGTTTACCCAGTTAAGAAAGAATCCTCGAAAACAAATGCCACGACCGCTGATGATAAAAGGTTTCGCTTCTCATGAAAGTTCCCTTAGAATAATAGGCCCGAATAATATTATATTTTCAAATTTTTTGTCCTTGCTTACACAATATGTCACTCCCTAAGAATAGTACAAAAACAATACAAAATACATGTTTACAACAAAGAAAATATCGCTACCAGTGCCTAATCAGAACATTTTTATGCAATGTAAAATTTGTGTTCCTTTTTGTAATTTAATGGATTTAGGCACTGCATTAGATAAGTAATCCATATCCGTTCACTCATCCAAAGACTAGGATCTATGCCTTTCTCTCTCTCTCTCTCTCTCTCTCTCTCTCTCTCTCTCTCTCTCTCTCCTGCAACTGTCCTTCGCTGTCGTGTGTATGTGTGTATGTGTGTGTGTGTGTGTGTGTGTGTGTGTGTGTGTGTGTGTATGTGTATGTGTGTGTGTGCGCGTGTGTGTGCGCGTATGTGTGTGTATGTGCAAGTATGTTTATGAGTTTGTGTATGGGTGTCGGTATGGGGTGGGGGGTGGGGAGGGAGGAGAGGTGTATGCGTGTATGTGTGTGTGTGTCTATCTGTA